ACCGACAAGGTGTTCTGTTGAGTAACAGAAAAGGAAAAAGGAGAATTTAAACACACTATGTAGTTGCACACGATGACCGCAAGTGGGAGAGCTCAACCCATTGCATCCCAGAGCCCTCTGGCTTAGCTCTGAACTTTCTCAACGAGATTTCATGTGCTATTTCTAAATAATTGAACTTTTCTCTGCTGTTCTGTGTTACAGTCTTTGAAAGAAAGCCTTTTATTTTGTTTTTATTTGTTTGGTTTGGGTTTGGGATTTGGCATGGTTTGGTTTGACTTGGTTTTGAGACCCTAGGGTGCGTTCACTGAATAGCCCTTGCATTCTCCCAGGTCAAATTCAAGTCTATTCTTTAGTTTTCAAATTGCATAGATAACATTACATAGAACTCGGAGAGGTAGTCGTTGGTAGACATTGTAAATAACACTTTTTCCAAAATCTAGCACACCAAATCGCCTAGTCCCATATTTCCCATTTGACAGGTGAACTGTCTTGGTCCATGTACAAGTACCACATGAGCACAATGGAGTGTTCTGGAATTTCCTTTCTTCTCCAGGCCATCTATAATTTATTATGAACCACACAGTTGAATGCCTTTGCAATTAATAAAACACAAGCAAACATTTTTCTGGTTTTCTCAACTTTCAGTCAAGCTACTTCTGACATTGCCACCAATTTCCCTTGTTCCCTATCCTTTTCACAGCCCAACTGAAGTTTCTGGCAGCTGTCAATATACTGCTGCAACTGTTGTTGAATATTCATCACCCAAATGTTACTTGCATGTGGTATCAATGATATTGTTCCTAATTTTGAGCTTTCTGCTGGTTCGTCTTTCTTTGGAACAGGTACAAATATGGATCTCTTCCAGTCAGTTCAGCAGGTGCCTGTCTTCCAGGTTTCTTAGGATAGGTGAGTAGGTGATGCCAGTGCTTCCTCGGATTATTGAAATATTTCAATTCACTTCTGTTAATTTCTGGAGCCTTGTTTTTGCTGATGGGTTCAGCGCAACTTGTACTTCTTCCTTCAATACCTTTGGTCCTTGATCAGATGCTACCTCTTGAAATGCTTGACTGTCAATCAGTTCTTTTGGGGACAGTGACTGTAATTACTTCCATCTTCTTTTGATGTCTCTGCATCATTCAATGTTTTGCCAATAGAACCTTGTAACATTGCAATTCGAGGTCTGAATTTCTCCTTAATTCTCGCAGCTTAAGATATGCCAAGCATAGTCTTTGTTTTTGGTTTTTGAACTCTAGGTTTCTACACATTTCATTAAAATATTTTGCTTTGTCTTCTTGAGCTACCCTTTGAAAACTTCTGTTCAGGTCTTTGACTTCATCATTTCTTCCATTTGCTTTACTTCTCTTTGATCCAGAATACGGTTCAAAGGCCCTCGTGACATCTACTTTGATCTCTTCTCTCTTTCCTGTCTTTTTAATGACCATTTACTTTCTTTATACATTATATTCTTGATGTAATTCCACAACTTAGCAGGTCTTCTGTTATTAGTGTTCAATGGGTCATATCTATTCTTCAGATATCCGCAAAATTCAAGTGGAATATACTCTAAGTACTATTTTGACCCTTGTGAACTCATCTTACTTTTCTTCAACTTCAACTTGAGCTTGCTTGACTGTTGCTATTGAGTTTTTCCATCATCTCTCCCCACAGATGTAGTCAATTTGATTTCTGTTATTCCATCTGAAGAAGGCCACATATATGGGTGCCTTTTGTATTGTTGGAAACATTTGTGATGAGTGATGAAGTCTTTGTTCTTGCAAGATTCTATCATGCAACCTCCAGCTTTACTTGTATCAGCAAGGCCTTATTTTCCAACTACTGTTCCTTTCTCTTTGCTTCCAACTTTTGCATTCCAATCGGTAATTGTTATTGCAGCTTGAGTGCATGTCTGATATATTGCAGACTGAATATATTGGAATTTTTCAATATCTAGCTTTGTTTCTTTCATCAAAGCCGTAGTTTCTAACTAATGTTCATTGCTTTTTCTTTCCAATGTTTGTATTCTGATCACCAGTAATTATCAATGCATCTTGATTTCATGTTTGATCAATTTCTGTTTGATGATGTTGATACAATTCTTCAATGATCTTCATCACTATCGTTAATGGTTAATGCATAAATTTGAATAATTGTATTAATTGGATTTCCTTTAATGCCTTTTAGAGATTATCCTATCACAACAAAATTATACTTTAAGAAAGACCTTGAAATGTATTTTTTGAATTTGTCATTCCTAGCATAGTTGAACCATATGATTGTCTGATTAAAAATGGCCAATACCAGTCCATTTCAGCTCACCAATAACTAGATAATCTTGATACGTTCTGTCTCATTTTTTACAACTTTGAATTTTCTTAGATTCATGTCTTGTATATTCCACGTTCAAATTACTAATAGAATTGTACAGATGTTTCTTCTTGTTTTGAGTCATGCCCTGTCAGTAAATGGAGGTCTTGAAAGCTTTACTGCAGCTACATTTTGAGAAGAACCTATCATCTATTCCTCAGTCATACTTTGAGTGTTTCCAAACAGAGGAGCGCATCTCCTCGCACTGTATCTGATCGTGGTCTGCTGCTGTTCAGGAGCTTGGCAGTGTCTGACCTTGCTCTGTTGCTATTCACAAGGTTTTCGGTGGCTAATTCCGCAGAAGTGGACAGCCTATTCTTTCTTCACTGTCTGTTCTTAGTTCTGCTGAAACCTGTTCACCTTGGGCTCATCCTGCTGGTATTTGAAACACTAGTGACAAAGTTTCAAGCATCACAGCAATACACAAGCCACCACAGCAACACAACCTGACAGACAAGTCAGAGAAAAGAACTCCTTACTCTGGCCACAGACTTGACATGCTTGAAATATATTTCAGCCCGGGCGTGGCCTCCTGTTAGTATACATTGACAGTGTATGGAACTTAGCTGACTTTTACTGCTGGATTCGGATCCTGAATCGGGTTTGTTGACCTGCCAATCCCAGAGCCATCAGCAGAATCTTGACCTTGGATTAATGTGGCCAATCTCAGATTCATGCAACGAGGCATCCACAAACGTGTGGTCTTCTTGCTTCCTATTCATGAGCACTTGAATCTACAAGTGTCAGGGGAAGCCTTCAGCTTTCATCTCACCCACAGACCTTAACCAGCCTGGACTTGCCTACCTCTGTAACTATATGCGCTATTTCTTTATATATACATATATATAACTGGTTTTTCTTCTCTGGAGAACTCAGCCTAACATAGGGGGAGGTGGCCTATTTACAAACAAACAAATAAACAAGACAATATATAACTAAACAAAGTACTTGAATCAAAAAAAATATAAAGAACAGAGTGGAATCCTACAGAATGTATGATTTTATGTCTTATTTCTGTGACTCGTATGTCATTTTTCGTGCTGTCGACCAGGACCCTGGAGGACACCATGGACTGCCCGAAGCATGAACAAATCTATCTTGGAGGAAATACCATCAGATTGCTCCTTAGAAGCACACACGTTCAGACTTCACCTCACGTACTTTGGACATCTTATCAGGAGAGCCCTGTCCCGCCAAAAGGGCACCAGGCGTGGTCCAGTGGTGAGTCAGCATAAGCAGAGGAAGGCATGGAGCACACGCATTGACAGAGTGGCTCCAACCTTGTCCTCACACAGTAACTGTGCGGATGGTGCGGGCAGTTTTCCTTCTTTGCTATGCTTTGCTTTGCATAGCATTGCTAGGAATTGGAGCTGTCCCAAAGCACATAACAACAATGATAACAACAACATTTTTTATAAGATTCGTCCATGTTTATTTGTCCATTTTTATAATGTTATAGTGTATTTTGACTACAACAACTGACCCATGCATCCAACTCAAAACCTAAATCACTGCCTACTCATGGCAACACTGTAGGACAGGGTAGAACGGTACCTGTGAGTTTCTAAGACTGTAACTGTATTGAAGTATAAAGCCTCATTTTTCTCCTGAGGAGCTGCTCGGGGTTTCCAAACGCTCCTTACAATTAGCAGCCTATCATGGCACCCTTGGGCCACCAGGGTTCCTGTTGTTGCTGGTAGATACTATGGAGTCTTGAGTTGAGACCCTGGTGCACAACAGAACAAAATACTGCCCGGTCCTGCACCATTTTCACAATTGCACCTGTGCTTGAGCCTATTGTTGCAGCCCCTGGGTCAGTCCATCTTACTGAAGGCCTGCCTCTTTTTCACGGCCCTCCACTTTATCAAGCAGGACGTGCTTCCTCAGGGACTGGTCCCTCCTGACAACACGTCTGCGATATGTGAGATGAACCCTCGCCATCCTTTTTGTCCAGAGAGCATTCAGGGGGGGTCCTTCTTCGAGACAGATTCATGTGTTCTTTTGGCAGTCCCTGGTACTTCCAATATTCTTCTCCAGCATCATAATTCAAATAAATTGATTCTTCTTCTATCTTCTTATTCAAAGCCCAACTTTCAAATGAAGCAATTGAAAATACCATGACTTGGGTCAAGCACACCTTAGACCACAAAGTAGCCTCCCTGCTTGTCAACAGTATAAAGAGGTCTTGTGCAGCAGATTTAACATGTCTTTTGAGATCCATTCCCCATGAACTTCTCGAAGCCCCCTGTGCAAGAGTCCCAGCAAGTCACTGTCCCAGCCGTGGACAGAGCAACAAGTACAAGTGTCGCTGGCGCCCTCTCGCAGCCCTTAAGGTTTCAGAGAAAGATGAGTTTTCTGGAAGAGCGGGGAAACGCTCCATCTGCGCTTCCCAGCACCCAAAGTTAGGGTCTGTAAGGCATCTAGTGGGCAGGAGGTTGGGAGCAGGGAGGGATCCCAGTTCCAAGCACAGAGGGAGCGGCCAAGCCACGCGGGGCGGGGCTAGGCGGGG